CACACACGTGCACACACCTGTACAAGAGCATGGAAGATCTTCAGGATCTGTTTCTGAATGAGGACTGAAAAGATTGTTGCATCAACCAGAAGCTGGCTGATGAGTTGTTGAATCCTGGGCAGGAAGATCTGCATGGCTGCAAGCAACGGCTCCCTCTCATCTGCTTTCCTGTACCTGAAGCACACACACATGCGTGATACTTACTAAATGATCTCAGTTCAAATCAGAACGAGCTTTAGGTTGTAGACATCATTCTCCTTCAACGGTTAGACTGAAGCAGAGAGAGCCTGATCTGCTTCTGTCTCTGTAATACTCGCTGGTCTGAGAGAATTTCTTTAAATGACATTACACTGTAATATGGTAGCCCGCCACTAAAAAAACACAAATATCCATAACTCGAAATTTCGACTTATATTTCTCCAAATTTCGAGTTAGTAACTAAAAATTTCGAGTCAGCTCTGCCAATCAGTGATCTACGTGAATGAGGTCACTTTCTTGTTACCTGGAAGCATATGGCGCAGAGCAACACGCACTCAAAACCGGATCGCAAAAAATTGGTGCTTTTGCGAGTACGTTTGCTGATAGTGACGCCGTGTGATTCAGCTAATAACACAAGGACTTCATCATTTTTGAAGCCACGCTGAAAATACTCAGCAATCTGTGCATTCATGACTGGATGTAATACCGCTAGCTTAGCTGTAGCATTTGTACCTGAGGGCTTCAGCTTCCGGGTGACAAAGACGTCATTCACGTAGATTAATGATTGGCAGCGGTTACAAAGTTTGAGTTAATAACTCGAGTTATTTTCTCGAAATTTCGAGTTATTGATCCTTTTTTTTTAGTGGCAGAAACGGGCTTCCATACTGTAATGTTACATTTCATATAAAAATGTAAACTGTAACTAGCTGCACATTTTTACTAATTGTAAAAGAAATTAATACAGTGGAACCCCGACTTACGAAATTAATTCGTTCCAGAGGGTCTTTCGTAAATCAAATTTTTCTTAAGGCAAAGCACCTTTTTCCAGGTTGAAGAAAGCATGCGTATGCATGCATACATATGTATTAGGGGTGCAATGATACTCGTATCGATA